GGACGGCAAACACACAAAGGCAACGCTTAGTAAACTTTAAGGGCAGCTGCCACCCTGGCCTAGCCAGTGCAGTCAAAGACAACGATGAGGACCATAGTCTGCCCAAAACAGAAATAAGTTTGCATTCATATGCAGAAGCATATGGAAATTTGCCCTTATGTTTGACCCGCTAGAGAATCAAGCTTGGATCCTTATGGTTGCAAACTGAATATTTACCTGGAGTTTACCTGGAGAGGGTTTCGGGGGTCAACACCCCTGCGGCTCGGTCTGAGACCAGGCCTCGTGGTGGATAAGGGTCTGAGACCAGGCCTCATGGTGGATAAGGGTCTGAGACCAGGCCTCATGGTGGATAAGGGTCTGATCAACCAGGCTGTTACTGCTGGCCGCAGGCAAACTGACGTACGAAACACAGCTCGGTTGGTGCCTGTTCAGTGCCTGTTGTGCCTGTTCAGTGCCTTCTTGAAGACAGCCAGGGGTCTATTGGTAATTCCCCTTGTGTATGCTGGGAGGCAGTTGAACAGTCTTGGGCTCCTCACACTTAGTGTGATGTCTTTCAATCTACTCGTAGCACCCCTGCTTTTCATCGGGAGAATGTTGCATCTCCTGCCAAGTCTTTTGCTTTCATATGGAGTGATTTTCATGTGCAGGTTTGGTACCAAACCCTCCAGGACCTTCCAAGTGTATATTATCATGTATCTCTCTCGTTTGCGTTTGAGGGAATACAGATCAAGGACCTTCAACCGTTCCCAGTAATTTAGGTGCCTTATCGTACTTATGTGTGCTGTGAAAGTTCTTTGTATGTTCTCCAGGTCTGCAATGTCGCCAGCCTTGAAGGGGGCCGTTAGTGTACAGCAGTATTCCAGCCTAGAGAGCACAAGCGATTAAAAGAGTGTCATCATGGGCTTGGCGTTCCTAGTTTTGAAGGTTCTCATTATCCATCCTATCATTTACCTAGCGGATGAGGTAGATACATTGTTGTGGTCTTTGAAGGCAAGATCCTCTAACATCATCATTCCCAGATCCTTCACATTTCTTTTTTGCTCTATTGTATGGTTAGAATTTGTCATATATCCTGATACATTTTTAATTTTTTCAAGTTTTCCATATCTGAGTAGTTGAAATTTCTCCTCGTTGAACTTCATATTGTTTTGAGTGGCCCATTTGAAGATTTGGTTGATGTCTGCTTGGAATTTTGCAGTGTCTTCAATGGAGGTCACTACCACGGCAATCCGGGTGTCATCAGCAAAGGAAGACACGGAGCTATGGCTTACATCTCTATCTATGTCAGAAATGAGGATGAGGAATAGAATGGGAGCGAGTACTGTGCCTTGTGGAACAGCTTTTCACCGTGGCTGCCTGGGACTTTACTCTGTTTACTATTACTCTTTGTGTTCTATTTGTCAGGAAGTTATAGATCCATCTACCAATTTTTCCTGTTATTCCTTTATCACGCATTTTCTGTGCTGTTACACCATGGTCACACTTGTCGAAAGCTTTTGCAAAGTCTGTGTATACTGCATCTGTATTTTGTTTATCCTCAACAGCATCCAGGACCTTGTCATATTGGTCCAGGAGCTGTGACAGGCAGGAGCGACCTGCTCTAAACCCGTGTTGCCCTGGGTTGGGTAATTAATGGGTATCTAGGTGGTTGGCGATCTTGCTTCTCAGAGCCCTCTCAAAGATTTTTGTGATATGGGATGTTAGTGCTATCGGTCTGTAGTTCTTTGCAATGCTTTACTGCCACATTTGTGGAGTGGGGCTATGTCTGTTGTTTTTAGTGTGTGTGGGATGACCCTTGTGTCCATGCTCCCTCTCCATAGAATGCTGAAGGCATGCAACAGGGGCTTCTTGCAATTCTTGACGAACACGGAGTTCCATGAGTCTGGGCCTGGGGCAGAGTGCATGGGCAGGTCATTGCCTTTTCAAAGTCTTGTGGAGTTAGGATAATATCCGAGATTTTTGAGATGACCAAATTTTGGGTTTTGTTCATAAAGAATTCATTTGGATTGTTGACCCTTAGTCTGGACAGTGGCTCGCTGAACACTGAGTCATATTGGAACTTTAGTATCTCACTTATTTCTTGGCTGTCATCTGTGTATGTCCCATCCTGCCTAAGCAGGGGTACAATGCTGAATGTTGTTTTTCCCTTAGATTTGGCATAAGAGAAGAAGTATTTCGTTTTTTTTTTTTTTAATTTTCTTTATTTCGTTTAGTTCTTCCTGAGATTCTTGTCTCCTGTAAGTTTCCTTCAGCTTAAGTTCGATATTTGCAATTTCATTGACCAGTGCCTCCCTTCGTATTTCAGATATATTGGCCCCACTCAGCAGCTCTGTGACTCTTTGCCTTCGTCTGTATAGGGGGCGTCTCTCTTTTTCTGGTTTGCATCTTCTCTTTCTTTTTCTTGATGGAATGTGTCTTGAGCAGATCTCAAGAACCACAGAGTTCATTTTTTCTAGGCAAATGTTCGGATCCGTGTTGTATAGGATATCTTCCCAGCTTGTTTCATTTAGGACATGGTTAACTTGATCTCATTGTATGTTTTTTGTTATTGAAATTCAATTTTGTGAAGAAACCTTCATGACTGATCACATTTTGCTGGTCTGGAGCACTGTGCATACATGTCTGTACCTCTATCATGTTGTGATCTAAGTGTATTGTCTTTGATACAGTTATATTACGTATCAGACCGTCATTGTTAGTGAAGACGAGGTCCAGCGTATTTTCTAGTCTTGTAGGTTCTAATATTTGCTGGTTTAAGGTGAATTTGGTGTAGAGATTTAATAGTTCGTGTGTGTGTGAATTTTAATCTGAGCTGCCTCCTGGGGTGATCTCTGCTAAAACACTGTTTGCTATACTCCTCCATTTTAGGTGTCTCAAGTTGAAATCTGCTAGTAGTAAGGAGTCTGGGAGATTTTCCAGATAGTGGTCAGTTTTCAAAAGCTGCTCCTGGAATTACTGGGGAGTTGTGTCTGAAGGCTTGTATACCACTACAATGACAAGGTTTTGGTTTTCAGTCTTTACTGCCAAAATTTCAACTACATCATTAGTAGTTCTGAGCAAATGAGCGACTCTGTGACATACAGGCCACCCTCCCCCTTTGTTGCATGTTTAGTCTGTCTCATCTGGATAGGTTATAACCTGGGATCCGTATTTTGTTGTCATAATGATCCTTTGTGTGAGTCTCTGTGAATGCTGCAAACATTGCATTTGACTCCATGAGTTGTCCCTTGGTGTAAGGAATTTTTTTTTTTTTTTGACGGCTTTAGACCCTGTATGCTTGCAAAGACGTGTTATATTGGTGGAATTTAGGGGGGTGTTATTTACTGGCTCTAATATCTGTTGTTCTGGAGTGGAGGCCAATGTCCGTGCCTCTGCTCCAGAAGTGTTTTCAGTTGGTGTACTATTATTGTCATTCCTTGGCAGTCTTTTTTCCCTCCTGGCCCTGAAAAAAACTCTGTCCCTGGAGGAGTTGTGGCTCCCACCAATTTGTTTCCCATAGTCTGGCTGGTCTGTGTCATCTTGTGTCCCTTAGATGATGTGCCTGGCAGTATGCATTGTAGCATTTTCTTTCATGGATTGATGAGTGACACATTTCTGGGTGAAATAAGTTACAGGAGGGGAAGTTACACGCTCCTGTTGCCATGTGGGTGAGGCGTTTTTTGGGGTGATGAAAGGTGCATGTCCCACCTGTTTTACCAGATATACCATGCCTGCAGATACCTACGGCATAGTATTTGCATAGATTGGATTTCGGTTTGCTAGGATTCATTGTAGCTGCATTCGCTGCTGGTACATGGACATCAGTGCTTCTACCAAGTTTTGCTGGTAATGTGTCAACACTATTCCCTGAGACATCATCCCCTTTTGTTGCTTCTCCAGCAGTATCTCTATTTTGTACTTCTGTGAACTGAATAGCGTTGTCTTTACTTGTTTCATCACCAGGGCCAATGTCTCCTTTTGGTTCACTGTCCTCCAGGACAACACTAGCACCCTCAGGAGCACTGTCGTCCAAGACAGTCCCATCCAAACCACCCATCTTCTTTTCCCAGTTGTCATACCATGCTGACATGTCTTTCAAGAAGAATCTTTCAGCTACTAAGCTGCAGATCACCCTAAAATGGCAGTTTAAATGGTACCACATGAGCAAAGCTGCTGTCCTAATGGAAGATTGCCAAAATGTTGTCAAATTCTTGGTGCATGATGTTATAGCCTTTAATTCTGGTAATATATAAAACAAGTCTGTTTCTAGATTGCCTTTGCATCACAGTGTGCTGTAGATAGTAAAGGAAAATAATCACTGACTGATGTCAGTGACTTCAGTGTCATGGTGTCTGTAGAGATTTGAGTATATTGTCACAGTTAAGTTTGCTTCCAGAGACTGCGTTGGCAGAAGCTGGCAAATCATCTTGATACTGTATCAAAATTTAGTAATGGGAGAGGTAGTGAAATGAATGGAAAGAAGCAGAGAGGTGGTAGTAATGTCACGAGAGACATCAACATCGAGTGACACGTGTTTGGAGGTACGGAATCACTATTTTAATGAAAATAGGAGCCCTCGTTGATATTCTGCTAAGCTGGTGGGAGTCACTATTATTAGTCCTCTACTTAACTTCTTTTTCGGTCGATTTGTAACACTTCAAGGTTCGCGGCAGAACTCTCCCTAAAATGTGTTACAAGCAAATTTAACGATATCTAAATAATTAATGTAAAATGAAAAATCTTAATATTTCACAATGCTTTCACACTTTTTGATATTTCTGGAAAAATTCCAAGCGGGACCAACAGTCGCTTGAGTCGACTTCAGACTTTAACATTGTCTCTTAAATGTTTTTGCACTTTAGCAAGATTGCTGATCATTTCTTTCTGTCTCATGGGATGTCACTATAAGTTATTGCTTTAAAGATTTAAATTAAGTGTCTTACATGTCAAATGTACTCTCCTACAATAAGTCTGTTATTATTGCTGCAGATAATCATATATTAATTACAATATGTTTTCAGGTAAGTATGTGTTCTCCCGGCTGGACCACGCTGCATCCTCTTCGTCATGGTTCCACCACAACGCTTTAGATCAGTCAGATATTCGTTCCTACACACACACAAGCCACCACCCGTCGCACGCTACTCCAGCATTACCACACAAGTCACCTGTGAGAGGACTCTTGTAGCAGATGATCTGTCAGGATGTTTTTCCTGTAAATATCTACATCAGAAGAATTCACGCATAAGCTAGTCACAGACATTGAACAAGGTTATTCCCAGAAGCCTTTGATGCCATAGCTGTATAGTAACTCAACCTCGCAGGAATGACCAAATGCAGTTTCTCTTCGCTGCAGTAACTGACACATCACATGGACCACCGTTTAGTTGTCTTCACGTCTGTCTATCTCAGATCTACAGTCAATGGCATACAAAGTATAATTTATCTGGAAAGTTTCTTTTCTTACAGTAAATCTACTGCATGTGATGTAGAGTGAATTATTCATGAGTCAGTGATGGTCTACAACACTTGTGAGATTATAACCATGAACCAATGATAATATGATGATGGAGTTTAAATAATCTATGAAGATGGCATCAGTGAGCCTTATCCAAGACCTAGACTTTATTCATGATATACTGAAAAAATTATGCTTCTCGAGTAATGCTCAAAAGTGTAGCTCAGAATTTCCTTCTACAGTTACACGTGCTATTAACTCCCTTCTCACTCATTGTCGTGCAATAACAAGGGTGATAATAGTAATGATAAGTGCTAAAATCAGGCGTTTGAATTTTTTTTTCTCATGTACCAATTTATGCAAAAGTTATATCGTAAATAATAAAACCTGTGTATCATATGGTAAGTTTCTTGGGCCAGTGTTCGTCAGCCAGTGTAACTACTGTCAGCTGCATTATAACTAGTAGTATTAAGTTTAGTTGCCTTTGTAACTTTGTAAACAAATGTCTGCTAACATAAATCCCAAAATAAAAGTGAAGATATTACTCGAATGTTTACATTAGAAGCATAAAAAACATAGGACGTTGTGTATTGTGGAAATGTTTTGGAGAATTTTTTCAGCTATTTCTTTTTATCACTGTGTTTAAAATGTTAACAGAAAGGAAGATACTGAAATACATATTTCAGTTAAGATGTCAGAATGACATCATTGAAGTTGGGAGTCTGAGAGAGAATGACGGCAAGAGATTATTGGAGCGTTGGAGCAGCGGCCACTGTGCATACTGATAAAATGAACAGGGAATAAAAAGACATTTGAGTCCCACTACTACCTTAAAATGGACAGTAATATTGGCTTTTTAGATTAATGCAATTTTCTGCTTCAGTTTATTCATTAATAGTTGTAAAAAACGACTATCAGTGAATAAACAGAGGTATAGACAGAGAAACGAACTGTAGTCATGACACATAGTTAGTCCAGCACTGTGTGTGTGTGTGTGTGTGATTATATATATATATATATATATATATATATATATATATATATATATATATATATATATATATATATATATATATATATATATATATATATATATATTATGGAAAATTTTATAGGGGGTTACTTGTATGTACCTCAACATTACATGCATACGAGTAATCTCATTGGGAGACAACAACTATATTGTTTACAGTAGTCACCTGCAGTGACCACCCCTGGTCACTGCAGGTGGCCCTTCGACACTCACAATCTTATCCATATCTATCCGAGACCAGTATAAATTGGATAGCACCCACAAGTACGGCGCTACTAATTAATTGTGGACTGTATAGATTATATTAGTTTAACTGAATGAAGGGAGGGGAGGTAGGTTACACATGGATATACACATCAAGGAAAAACACTTGTACATAATCCCACCACTTACCAGATATTCTCTGGTCACTTGATGTAGCTGGATCACCCATAACCTATCCAATTACAACATACCTAACTGGCCAGTATCAGTCTGCTATAACTAGAAGGGTTACTTAACTGTGGGTGTTTGATGCTCATTTCCTCCATTCACTATCTCACTTCGATGTCCTGCTACACCGACACGGTTCTTATTCCAGCAGGACGAGGTATCCGTTGGTTTGTCCCAGTTTAGAAGTCATGACTCCATGAAAACTTCACTATCCTCTGGACGGGAACAACGTGGTCTAACGTGTTCACTCGGAGCAAGGCGACTTATTTCACTTCACGCATTCTCTTAACTTAGTGTTATTATCATTGATTACATTGCAATTCACAAGACGATTTAATGTCTCATAATTATTATACACATTAGAGGTCACTCCATTAAGATCTGAGACCGATGAGTGAGGATTAAATCATGGGCATTTTCCCCTGGACACACTCCATGGCGGCTCACCAGTCACCCTCGGTCCTACCATTATTCACTAATTTTACCACTTATTACAGCGGTCCCATCAATCACGTTCCCTCACTCTTCACCAGGGACAGTTACGACACTTTCTATTATGAAGTGAGGCCTATATTAATCCTTAGGCTGCCGTGAATGCCAATTTCCTGGTCCCATGTTTTCACAGCCTCTTAACTACATTCAAAACACTCCCACTCCCCCATGCCCTGTCTCGACCTCCCCCCACGCACATCCGCGCAGGCGCAGGAGGAACCCTGTTGGTTCTATTCCATTTTCAAATACATTTTTTGACCCAGATCAGCACATTAAACACTTATTAGGCACTATAGCTTTGGAAATTAAATAATTTCCACACACACACACACATATATATATATATATATATATATATATATATATATATATTATATATATATATATATATATATATATATATATATATATAATATATATGCAAAACAACCACTCTGAAAGAATAGAGAAATTCCAAGCGCTTTCGTGACTACTCACATTATCAAGGAACTATGAAAGTGAAGCATCCAAGGAAGCTATATAAGGGGTCGGCCAGCACCTCACTATCAGATCCACAACGGTTAAACACGTGACGCGCGGCGAGCCAACTTGGATAGGTCCTTTGCAAAACTCACCCCCAAGCTATTTATTTGTCCAGTGTATTATTAAATTCTTCCCAAATTCTATTAATTAAAAAATGGATCTAATTTATATAAACCAAAGGAAATATTCATATTATTGTCAAAACTGCTTTTTATGAAACAAGATTCAATTATATTCCTGTCGACCATGGACTTGCTTGATACTACTTTCTCAACTTTTTGAAAATCAATTGGATGGTTAAAATCTCTTACATGAATAAATAGAGCATTGGAATCTTGTCCAGTTCTAATGCTATATTTATGTTGTTTTAATCTTAGTTCAAGATTTTTACCAGTTTGACCGTAATAAACTTTATCGCAAATTTTACAAGGAATCTTATAGACACATCCATCAGCATTTTGGGGGGAATTCTTAATCAAAAGTTTTTTTACTGTATCAAGATTTTTGAATACAATTTTAATATTAAAAGTCTTAAGAAGAGAAGGCATATCAACCAAGTTTTCAT